TAGAGCCAGGTTCTGGTTGCCTGGGTGCAGGTGGGCCCGGAAACTGTGTCCACTTTTGACACTGTGTGCAAAACCAGGGCACTGTGTGCAGCTAGGGGTGCCACTGGCTCACAAGGCCTGTGCTGTGGTGCTGCGTTCCTGTTCCTGTCCTCCTGAGGCGTTCAGCTTGTGGGAGAGGAGGGGCAGGAATGGCTCACATCATACTGGCTTTTGGGGCTTAAAAAAAAAAACCAGCAGATGACTGAGGAGCAAACCTGCTGTGGAAGGCCCAGGTGCTCACTTAGAGCCAAGAGCACCCCAAGAAGAGCCACTGCAGCTGAAGCAAGGCCAGGCCAGGGTGGCTGGACTGTGGGAAAAGGGCACACTTGGCCTTGTGGCTCCCATCTGCTTGGAAGGCGTCCCTTCATCCTGCAGTGGTCCCTAATGGCAGGGCAAGGCCAGGCTGGCCAGGGCCTGGTCATTGCCCGGGTCTGGCCATGGGCGGTCCCTCTGGGACGGGAGCCTGGGAGGAAGCAGAGTCTGTGGCTGGGAGCATGGGAACCCGCGCAAGGCGGAGGCTGCAAAGTAGGGGTTGGTGACCGGCGGCCAGGGCCTGGCTCTTCAGGAGCGGGGCAGCCCAGGGCAGCATCTGTTTCTACTCTCTGCTGGCGCCCGACGGGGCTGGCAGCTCTTAAGGGCAGATTATGCAATCGTGGGGCTGACTGCCTGTGTGCCGGCGCTGGGCTCCCAGGGAAGGAAGCAAGGAAGGGAGCGCTGGGGACCAGCCTCTTCCCGAGGGCCAGTTGCTCCTGTCTCCCCTGCCTCACGGAATCGCCAGGACACTGGCCACAGCACAGCGGGCATGCCACCCATGCCACGCCGATGGGCACAGGAGGGGCTTGAATTTCTCCTAAAATTGGAATGAAGAAGAGTTGTGGAATTCAGCTTGGGTTGTGTTTACCCTGATAAAGTCTTTGTTAATGTATTTATTTATTTTTAGTGTATTTTTATAGAGGAAAGACCCCCACAAGGATGAGGCAGATCGGGGCTCTTTGAATGGAGGTCTCTCTCTCCAGCTCAGGCAAGGCCAGCCTCTTTCCCACCTTCAGCCTACACCAGCTGCCCTAGCCCTGGCTCCTGGCCTCAGGAGCCCCCCAGGGAACCGTAGGTGATCTGTGACTCCAGGGAAACACACTCTTCTCATGCCTCAACCTTTTGTTTTGTTTTTTAAACATTTATTTATTTATTTATTTAGTGTGTGTGTGTGGCCAGCTCAGCCCACCAGGGGGCGGGGCTGGTTGGCATGTGGTGCTGGGGGATCGAACCGCGGTCCCTGTGCTTTGCAAAGCTTGTTCCAAGTAGGTGCTTTAGACCACTGAGCCATCTCACCAGCCCTCTTTTTGTTTTGTGACAGGGTCTTGCTAAATTTCTCAGGCTGATTTTTTTTTTTAATGTATTTTAGTACAGGGACTACAGGGGCTCACTACCCAGATGGGACCTGTAGTGATCCTCCTGTTTTCAGCCTCCCAAGCCGCCTCCTAAGTGCTTCCTGGAAACGCTGATGTCTGACCTGTGCCTGGCAGGCAGCCTTGGAGGGCAGGAGCTGGGCGTGGCTTCATTCTCCTTGGTACCTCTAGCCCTGGTCTATAACAAACACTTGAATGTGTGATGAATGAATAGTTGATGAATGAATGAAGGTGTTGTGCTCTTCTTTAATCCAATGGGTTTATCTCTGCTGGAAGCCATTCATACTTTAGAGTGAAGTAGGAACTAATAGCAACTTTCCTGGATCTGATTCCTACGTGAAAAAATGTTCTGCCTCCTGGAGAAGCAAAGTGAAGGATCAGTGAGTTAGTGATCAGATGAAGGAGTAGGGGCAGAAGGGCAGGGTTTTGTCCTAGACCTTACAACTGAGAGCTGTGTCCTCTGCCTCCTTAGGGTGAGCTCCGAAGGATTTGAGCGCCTCTATGTTATTTATATATTTCTTTATCTTTTTATTTGATTTATTTATTTTTTTAGACAGGGTCTTGCTATATTTTTGGCTGGCCTTGAACTCAGTGTGCTGTCCAAGCTGGGCACTCTACATGTCCCTCCTCTGCCTTTCTCCTTGTCCTCTGTTCAC